GTTTATATAACACAAATGCGTATTTCCTACAGATGGCAGCAAGGGGAGAAAGGAATATAGAAAGTAATCAATTTGCTATAGATGTCTCTCCTTGCACCTTTTCTCAGAGGTTCAAAAATTAGTTGTCTGCTACAAGCAATTTAGGAAGGAGGTTTCTACCTGCCTGCATATCTATATATATATATTATCTTTGGGTTGTACTTAGTAAAACAAGAAAATTGCCGTGTTCAAACCAGAGTAAACTTGTCCGTCTTCACTGTTCATCTTGGGGAGACATTATAGACACATCTTTGCAGTCTTTTACCCTTTTCATTAAATAAACTTTATCAGACATAATAATATTATGGCTTTTGAAATTAGGTATAATTATATTATGGCTTTTGAAATTAGGTATAATTATATTATGGCTTTTGAAATTAGGTATTACAATGCTAATTCATAACAAAGATGATATCCGGAGAAAGGGTAGAGTATAGAATGCTGATGGACAGTTTGTACAGGGGAATTGTACAGAACCCTTATAATTGAATATAAAGGTTAACATGTACATTAAAAGAAGAGGGGGATTTTTGTAGACGTCATTTTAAGCATAAATGAAAATGCAGAAACCAATTAATGTACATTTGTCAATTCGTTTTTCTAACTCCTTGTGCAAAGTTCAAATATTCAAAAAATATTTAGCAATATGAAAAACATGACGCAAAACATTCAAAATGGCTCTTTTGATATAAAAAGGGGTTCGAGAATACTGAGAATTATAAGCGCAGCCCAGCGCGCGAGTATTCCTTCCATTTCATCCTACAAGAGGGGTGGGGCACATGGGGGCGTGGTCCACCCCCCCCCCCCCGGTTCGGCCATAACTTGTATGCTTAACATGTTATTGGTGTATTTTAAATTTGTTAACCTTATTTTGGTTTTTTGACATAGCATAGTTGGAAGAATTTAAATTGTAATTTTTGGACTAAAAAAGCATGGTTCCCAGCAAGATATGTCACTATCTCTGTTAAAGTTAAACACTTTGAATTGACGAAATAAAGTTTTTGAATTTTCAAAAAATCCATCATCATACACAAAAGTTTTTTTTCCCAAAATATTTTTTGTGCTCCAAATTGAGAATTTTACTCAAAAAAACTATTATTTTTTCTCACAAGCAATTTTTATTCATATGCATGATAAAAATTTAACATCCAATATGCCTCTGTTTATGTGATAAGTGAATTAACTTGGAAGGAAAGGCCAAAAACGGAAAACTATATCGCAATAACAGTAAAAATAGCCATATTTTTATTTCTTTTTTTTTACTTTAAAAAGCTTATTTGATAACTAAACGGAGAAAACTATAAGACTCAGTTAAATTAAATGGTATGTAAACCAATATCTAAAATCTTTATACATTATCCAACTCAAAGAAACAAATTCTAAATCTGACGAAACTGTAAGAATAATTTTATAAAGAATGTACAACATGGTGGGCTTAACCATTTATTAATGAAAAAAAGAACAATATTTTAATTAGGTTTCTAATTATTGTAAAGTACTCCACAACTCTATCTTTTTCTTTTCTCAAAGTTTTCTTGAAATAGAACTTCATGATTTTCCTGATTTCCTTCACTTGTGAACTTCAAGCAGTACATAAATCTCCTGACAGACCCGGCATCATGAAACCTTAACAAGATTATGTTAAAGCTTAAGATCAAGTGAATTTAATGGTTCTGTCAATATTCCAGAAAGCTATAACTTTCGATCACTCCTATTAAACATAATTTTTCAGCCTTCTTTCTTAAATACTTTTTTGCTGGCATATATGTTTTGAATAAAAAGTATTTAACAAAAAAATCCGTAACTTTAAAGATAGTCAAAATATAAACCAAAACGAGAATGATTTCAAATTGAAGAAACTCCCCCCCCTCCGAACACCCTATCTATACGCCCTTGATATGAAAAAATTATGAAATGTTCCTTTAAGACAAATCCAATTCGGAAAATATGTTACAGTCTATAAAACAAAATATGCGTTGGTTGATCGAGCTTTCCATCCTTCTTTCAAAAAATATTTCCACAAATGACACAAGCCGTGGAGGGATAGTCTAGCTCTGTTGCAGAAATGTTGATTTTTCAAAAACTTTATAATTGTAAATTATTTAAACAAAATTCATATTTTACCTTGGTATAAGCTCTTATGTTTCGGATAAGTATTGTTATGCCCATCGGATAATTTTTAAAGTTTACTGATGATCGTATAACTTCTTAATTTGCAGTTTTATACAACAAATCTTTCATGCTATGGTATAGAAAAACTGTCTACTGTTTACATACCCCAGATCTGTGTACACAGATGCCGCAACTCTCATTTATCCGATGTACTGTATGTCACTACATGATCTATACCTAACACCGATTCCCTTCTGTCCCTGATCTCTGTCCTTATTGCAAAGACGACGGATTACATCCCTTGATGATATCGAATTAGTCACTGAATTCCCATGTTTTTTGGGACACCCTGTATGTACGTGTGTCGTGTACTGTGCTTCTTGCTTATAGCTGTCTAAGTCGGTACGGTCCTTCAAATAAAGCAGAGATGTTTGTGCTTTATCCCTTTTTTCATAATTCCTGTATCTTTTTAGTTTCTACACTTTTCTACCTCTTTTATCTTTATATCCCTTTATCCCATGTAAATGTTTGGTTTGGAAATAGTTAAATGTCTATAAAACAGACAAATTGTTGCTCCATTTGCAAATAATTTATCAATTGAAATTTGCAAAAATTCATTAAAAAATTTCTTTCTCGGTTGGAGAAAGAAATATTTATTGAATTCATTTCTCAAACCAGCAAACCTTATTGTTTTTAGGAATATAATTTATACCTTTCATATAAGCCCGCTTTGTTTTGCAACACTAGACATAGAAAGAAATTTGGAAAATGCCGAAAGCTTTTTACTCAATTTAGCAACACTGCAAATAAAAGTTTTCCCTCTATGATCGCTGTAAACTAAATAATATCTAAATTCATGACGTAGACATTTCTCAAGTTTATTCCAACTACTCCTATAAGCTGTAGCTAGAAACAAATAATTTGTAGAACTAAAAAAAGTGTGTTGACTAAGTTAAACCAAGTGCTAAGACCTGGCGACAATTCCACATATTTGTTTAGTTCTCTGTTTCACCGTACTTAGGACGGACGCAGTCGGAGACGTCATATGTTATTTAAAAGTATGGATGAAACGGTCCGGGCTAAGTGCCAAGTCAGGATCAAGTGTATACATATCGTACATAACAGTAACACTTAGTATCATTAAAATTATAATTTTATTTCAAATGCAAAAATTACAAGACAAACTGAACATAAGTCTGTATCGCTAAGCTGGCCAAACGGCTAAACTCCATGGGCAACGTCGGACACTTCAGCTAGTATAAGATAAAAATAAATAAAAATAGATATAAAAATATATATATAATAAACAAATGAGCCAAATTTTGTTTGGCAGTATCATTTTTAGATTTTTAATATTTAATTTAGATTTAAAAGTTCGATTACTGAAATTACAATTACGAGTATTTATTATCCGTTCTCTTTGATGCAGAGTTGGATCCTGCCGGGATCTATCCTGTAATAAATTGATCCTGATTCTGGATTCGTCCAGTAAAAATGGATCCGTCCTGTAAAAATAGATCCTGAATTCGTCCTATAAAAAATGGATCCTGATCCTGGATTATTCCTGTAAAAAATGGATCCTGAATCTGGATTCGTCCTGTAAAAAATGGATCCTGATCCTGGATCCGTCCTGTAAAAATGGATCCTGATCCTGGATCCGTCCTGTAAAAAATGGATCCTGATCCGTCCTGAAAAAATGTATCCGTCCTGTAAAACATGGATCCTGATTCTGGATCAATCCTGTAAAAAATTCCGTCCTGTAAAAATGGATCCTGCTCCTGGATCCATTCTGTAAAAAAGGATCCTGATCCTGGATCCGTCTTGTAAAAAATGGATACTGATTCTGGATCTATTCTGTAAAAAATGAATCCTGATCCTGGATCCGTTCTGTAAAAAATGGATCCTGATCCGTCCTGAAAAAACTGGATCCTGATCCTGGATTCGTCCTATAAGAAATGGATCCTGATCCTGGATTATTCCTGTAAAAAATGGATCCTGAATCTGGATCTGTCCTGTAAAAAATGGATCCTGATCCTGGATCCGTCCTGTAAAAATGGATCCTGATCCTGGATCCGTCCTGTAAAAAATGGATCCTGATCCTGATCCGTCCTGAAAAAATGTATCCGTCCTGTAAAACATGGATCCTGATTCTGGATCGATCCTGTAAAAAATTCCGTCCTCTAAAAATGGATCCTGCTCCTGGATCCATTCTGTAAAAAAGGATCCTGATCCTGGATCCGTTCTGTAAAAAATGGATCCTGATCCGTCCTGAAAAAATGGATCCTGATCCAGATTCAATCTTGTGAAAAAATGATCCTGATCCTGGATCTGTCTTGTAAAAAATAGATCCTGATTCTGGATCTATTCCGTAAAAACTGGATCCTGATTCTGGATCCGTCTTGTAAAAAATAGATCCTGATTCTGGATCTATTCTGTAAAAAATGGATCATGATCCTGGATCCATCCTGTAAAAATAGATCCTGATCCTGGATCCGTCCTGTCAAAAATAGACCCGGATACATTTTGTAAATATTTCCTCTGGTTTTACTTATTTCATTATCATAAGAAAAAACGTGATTTAACATTTTAAGTAATTACAAGTTTTTTATATATATAAGTTGTAATCTCTATTTGTCTGTCTGTCTGTTTGTTTGTCCGATCATAACTCAGGAACCCCTGAACCGATTTGCCTCCAATTTTGCTTGGGAAAATCGGGAGACTCACTGGAATGTTCTTAGCTTGGTTTGAGATTTAGTTTCCCTGTAAAATCGTTCAAGTCCGGGTAAACGGCGGGAGTAACCTGGGCAGCGCTGGGTTCCCAAGCTAGTACATATATTAAGTTGTAATCTCTGTTTGTTTGATTGGATGTCAGATCATAACTCAGGAACTCTTTGACCGATTTGCCTCAAATTTTGATTGGGGAACTAAGGAGACCCACAGGAATGCTCTTAGCTTGGTTTGAGATTCTAAATTGGTAGCTAAAATTCGTTTTTTACGACCCAGCCCAGGTAAACTACGGGAGTCACTATGAGTACCCTGGGCAACGCTGGGTTCTCAAGCTATTATAATGTTTTGCTAATTAATTCGGATCCAGGTAGCTAAAACGTGGAAGATCCAGATCCTAAGCTCTAATCATTACATTGTATAATTACAACCCTTTCCAATTCTAGATATGTTGTAGGACGTAGGTATTAGATTGAGATTTTTCTCAGGTTTAGACATCGAGGACAGGTTCTCAATTCTCAGGGCTAAACATTGAGCTGGTTTTCATCTTTAATAAAAACAGTTTGTTGAATCCCTGTGGCAGGGTCTAGGATGAAAGCAGTTTTAGGAACTGGAGTTGTCAGGTTGTGAAGTTTTTTCCTATGCTGCTTTAAGGTATCCCTCGTCTTCACTCGGGCTCCACAAACCTCGCAAAATATTTTTAGATTATATCAAAATCTGATGTTTTTATGGTCTAAGTATCTTAATACCACGCAGTGATAAAACTACTCCCGGGATAACATGGGGCGTTACATCGGTTGGACAGAAGCGCCGGCCCCGATTTCATTGACTGACGGATTGTCCTTTAATAATAATAATAATAAAAATATAAGTACACAATTCATGATTATTGAACTGTTTAAAACCAAAAATTGAGTATAACAGTCGTCTTCAAATTCCAAAGTTTTATGGGTCCTACTGTAGTGAGTGAGCATTATCTATTTATTGAGATCTCTGGGCAGGTTCCAATAAATGAGAAAGGAAATTACGAAGCCGAAAATGACAAAATGATCTTGAAAAACCATCTTACCTCACATGAGAACTGTCTAACATCACTGTGTTTTGTCATGTGATTTTTCAGAAACTTGACTTTAGCAAACCTAAATCACAAAAATAATTAAAATTTCTAAAAAAAAAACTAATCTGAAAACGTATCCACCCCCAAAGTAGGAGTTCTGAACGTCGAATTTGCACTCAAACTCAGGATTTACAGATCTTTAAAAAGTTTAACATGTTTCAAATGAATCCAAAAAAAGTTTTCCACAACACTGCATACTCCGTTCAACTACCTTACATAGCCGGTCACTCCCTTTAAGCAGAGATTTGAAAATGTTCAGTTAAAAAAAAGAAGAAAACTTTTAATTAATTTGAAAGGTTTAATATCTTTTTGTGTTGGGAAATATACTTGATATTAAGGAGAAATAACGACTTTTTAGTGTGAACATGATGAAAATATTTGTCAATAGAAATTAAATTTTTCATTTCTCAAAAATTATGAATACCCCTATTGTATGAACTAGTGCTAATTGTATCGTTTAACCTGTAACCACAGATAGTGCAGACATGTTTCTTCTCCTCCTCGCTATAGTGGGTTTTCATGTGAAGGGCCAAATTCTTCTTTCCGTAAAACTGTTTCCCGCATTTCTAAATCAAACACAGGGTTACCAATAAAGACTGGGATTTTAATGACGTCTCAATAATCTTTAAATATAAAGTTAAAGGCTTAATCTGGGTTATCAACTAGACCAACATCAAATGCACATACAAAAGGCTGAAATGTCCTATTCCCATTCTCTACCTTCACGGGTCTCCCTGTATGTTAATCAACATCCAGGGTGTCCTATTTAATATTGGTTCGTGATTTAGCACTAAATTGTGATTTCCGGGAGTAATCAGAAATTTTTAAAAGAATAAAACGTTAAAAAATTTGAAGAAGACAAATATGAAAATTTACAAAAAGAAAATACTAAATGTATAAGTTATCTCTGCGTATTTTGGCATCAAAGCTTAGAGATCATCCAATATGATATGAGAAGCTCTGTATAATAACATGTGCATTAAACATGAATAATTAATAAATAAATAATTGTAAAGAGCATGAATGCCACGAAGAAAAAGACGACTTTTAGTCAATTCCTTTTATCTTGTAACTTACATCACAGCTGTAGTTAAAATGTGTACTGTGACTCATCTCTTCATGTTCCTGATTAACATAAAACTGTAATTTCTAGGTTTTTATAAAAATACAAAGAGAAGTTTTTTCAGTGCGTATTCAAAAATTTGTCTGGGGGAGGATGGCTTAAATTTGTTTCTTTTTAGAGGGGGGCTCAGCACCCATTGGGTCCCAAAACCCTCCAGAAAACCAGATTTCACTGACCCAGGGGGAAAGGGGGGTCTGGGTCCACTTAGCCCCACCTGAATACGCATCTGTATATGGTTTTTGACTTATTACTCAAATCTAAGAAGAACATTCTGGAACAAATTTCATCTTTCTCAAAGAAAATCATCGAATATTTAGCAAACACATTTTTATCTTTCTTAAAATTAGAAAAATTATTGATTTTCCTGAAGCTCGTTTCTTCGTTTGTAACTTTTTTCACACAAGGTGCAAGGGAACGGTTTGACAGCGGAGTGAACATACTGAACATGATAGTTCAGCCTTGACTGACTCGCGAACACCTGAACAAGTTATAAAAAAAAATGTCATCTAAGGGAATTTGTGCGGGGGGACTTGATTTTTTTCCAAGGTGTGGGGAGGGGGTTAGCACCCGTTCGGGCCAGAAAACCCTCTAAAAACCATAGATTTCACTGGTCCAGGGGTGGTGGGGGCTGAGCCCCCACAGCCCCCCCTGAATACGCCTCTAGAGTGAATGTTCCATAACTTGATAATATCACATTTGAAGATTATAAAAGCATGATAGAGAAATCCATTTTTTTTAAATCGAAAACTTTTCACGCAGCTTTTCTAAAACAGGATTACTGATTTTTTACAGCACAATCGACTTTTTTTCAGAAAATAAGGGAATTCTTTGGCTTTGTCAGGTCAAGGTTTAAAGGGTACAATTATTAATCTTTCATTATAAACATTAAATTAAAAATGTAATTTAACTTCAAACAACAATTTCAAATAGCAAATCTGGAATTATACCTTTGTACATAAATGGCAGAATAAGTCTTTGGTATCACAGCTAGAGTTAACATGTTGTTTATAAACATCAAATTCATTAAATATCTTCCCGCAGTCCACGCAGGTCTTCTCCACCGGAAACGCTTGTCCCTGGCACTTCCGGTAGTGGAAAGTAAAGTAGATTGAGTTTGTGGTGTTCTGTACGTTATTCTGGTTGCTGACACTCTTACAGACAACCTGCTGACAGTGAGGACAGTTGTACCCTTCCTCATTCTACAGTCAAGAACTCTTTTTTTCCAGTATTTTAAAATTAAAGAGGTGAGAGGTAAAGAGAAGAATAAAAAAAATTGGTCGGCGATTTATATCAGTAAAATGAAGACGACTTTGTTCCCTAATTTTTCTTTGTATAAATGTTTATGTAACTCTACTGTTAGAAATGTAGTTAGAAATCAAAATAATTTAAGTAGAAAGTCGTCTATATTGAAATAATACATAAATTATACAACGACTACTGTATTCAAAAGCACACAAAAATCCCAAAATTACGTTTTCTAAATCAAAATTTAATGTTATTAAATATTTGCATCCATAAAAACATTAAATTTACCGTTCGATAACTCTTATTTGTTGAATAAGTAAGCCTATGACAAAAATAATTGCAAAACGAATATCTGCAGTAGTGGAATCTTCGCAGATTTTTGGTCCAGAGCAATAGGGTTTCAGAAAAGGGAGAAGATGTGAGGATAACATCAACTCAATACTAACTAAAGCTGACCAGAAGAAAGCTATCACTCAATTACTTTTCTTAGATCTGAAAGAGGCATACGATAGAGTTGATAAGATGATATTGTATAAAAAGCTGCCTCATTCATAGACTATAGTCAAGACTTCATAACATACTCTACAGCAGGAGCACCAACTCAGGAATTGTAATTGACACGCGGATTAAAACCAGGTTGCAAATTGTCATCAATTTTATTCACAATCTCTCTGTCAGAGTTGGGAAACCGTCTAAGGAAGGCAAATGTAGGAATATCAATTTTCAATAATATTCTTCCGGAATTTCTAAAGTTTGCAGATGATCTTATTCTGTTTAGTTATGATCTTGATTAGAGTATTAGGAGAAGTGGTGTCGAGATTTTAGAATGGTTATCTCAGTATCTAAAACTAAGGTGGTAACGCTCTGGAGGATTTTGAACCTTGAATCAGGCAACTACTCCAGGAGTTCAAAAACCTGGGAATCTTGCAAAAGTTTGGAGTCAATTTAACAATGTTATGCAATGCTGCAATTAAATTTGAAAAAGCTGAGCTTTATCAAAGGAACATTCTAAGGATGAGACAACTTAACAAGATAGGATAGAGGTGTATCTAGCTATGTGGAACAATGTGGCTATTCCAAGTATCATATATGGACTGCATAAATGTTAAGTCTTTTAAAACACTTGTTGAATATCTAATCTTTAATTGGGTTTCATTGATTCAATTCTCAACCATATTAATTTTTGATCTTTTAACGGAATTTCATAATGTAAAAAATTACAGAAACAGATAATATTTTAAGATATTTCAGAACTTTGTAAAACAAAAAAGGTATAGTCTTGGTATTTTTACTAAAAAAATGTGAGATCTCTTTCCTTGTCAAAATAGGGTCCTAACTCCGGCAGGTTTACTTGACCAGGGTGGTTAATTCTAAATATCAGAACAAAATTTTAAATTTTTAATATTTTTGTAATACTTAAACCAATGTTGTTATAATTCTTAATTTAAATTAGAATTTTTGAAGTTTAAAAAGTAAATTTTGCGCATATTTCCCTAGAATAGAGATTAATACTTTTTTCAAAACTTAAAACAACATCGTTAGACTTTTCATCAAATATTAATTTTGAATTAAGAAAAAAATTAAGTTTTCGGATATTTGCCTAGAATGTTGTCTAAGCTCTTGTTCCTCTATGAACACTGTATAGCAGAGATGACAAGGAAATAGAACCGGTATTGATCTTCCAAACAGTGCGTGACAAATCCATTCAGATTTATCGTTGCAAACCTAAAACAACCCTTTGAATAAGTCAACAATCCCTTTAAGGAAGTATGTATGTCTTTTTGTTAGGGGAAACATCGCGTTTTTGACTAAAAAACGATGCTATATCGTTTGCACAAATGTCCGATTGAACTAGAGTACTTTTGCACTAAAGTCAGCTGATCAGTATCACTTGTGGCCGCAGCGCCCGGCCCCCTAGCCTGTCCTAGCCGCGGCGCTCGGCCCAGAAATTGTCTTAACCTAACCTAACCCTCAAATAAAACGTTAGTCCGAATTAACGTTAGTGTGAATGTACGTTAGTCCGATCAATCATTAGTGCAAACGATACGACACCTAAAAAACTATTTATTAAAAAATCTTCCATTCCAAATTCCAAAAAATTGGCATTGGGTGTATTTTCAAATGAAAAGATTCTGTACAGTAATAACCAGAAATTTATGGAATAGGAAGACGACTTTTAACCTTAATTTATGACTTTAAATAGTCCAATGAGCATGAAAAACAGCAATTGTGCAGTGCAAACAGACCCATTTTACTTATTTAGTGGTTTAATATCTGTTTGCTTTGTAACAACATCAAATGCACTTAAGTAATGCTTTAATGTCGTCTACCTATTCTCCAGTTTTCTGGTTATCACTGTACGTACATTGTACATTTGTATAATTATATGTAAAACCAACCTTGTAGATTTGGATAACTATCCCCTCAGGATCTCTTTGAATAATTGTTGTATCTTCATCCAACTCTTCCTCCTCATTGGGTTCCTCGGTCTTTATCGATGTCTAAAAAAGCAGGATGTAAAAAAGTTTAAAAATCACATTTTAAACTCATTGAAATTTTATTTTATCATTGAAATGTAAGCTGTTTAAAAGATATTAAATAAAAATCAAAATCAAAATCAAACCATCAAATCAAACCATCAAATCAAACCATCAAATCAAATCAAATCAAACCAAACCAAACCAAACCAAACCAAACCAAATCAAACCAAACCAAATCAAATCAAATCAAATCAAATCAAATCAAATCAAATCAAATCAAATCAAATCAAATCAAATCAAATCAAATCAAATCAAATCAAATCACCAAACCAAATCAAATCAAATCAAATCAAATCAAATCAAATCAAATCAAATCAAATCAAATCAAATCAAATCAAATCAAATCAAATCAAATCAAATCAAATCAAATCAAATCAAAATAGTGGTGAATTTATGAACCCAAAGTTGTACATTAATCAAATGGTGATTTTTCCATAAAATATTTAAACCAGTGGAGCGTACATGGGGGATTCCTTGAGAACATTTTCTCATATGATAAATAAACCAAACAAGATGGCGGCTGTTCTGTTCGAGGCTGCACCGAGGACAAGTATAGTTCTCTGAGGACGGATTCCAATATTCACCAGGAGGACAAACACCTAAACCACAGCTTAGGTTAGTATTCATAAGTGCATCTCTCTGAAGAATTTAGATTATCAAAAAACAAATATTTATCTTTCACAAACTGAAATTTTGCAAACAATCAATAAATACACACGGGATTCTTAAACCTGAGAAGAACCCAAAGGTGCAACTCCTCATCCTCCAAGGAAGACGGATTGAAAAAGATATTGACAAGACAAAACCAGGCGAAAATTGCAAGATTTTCTACTGTAGAAGATTTGTAATTAAAATATTTCATTCTTGCAAAAGTTTTTCCTGCCAAAAAGTAAACCAAGTTTCCTCTCTGGATGTGTCAAACCAATCCTTACCTTTATGAGCTTCGATCTTATGAGCCTCAAGTTGATCTACGGAGGTGAAAACTAGATAACAGGTTCTACAGCCCCAGATATAATCAACCAGTTGACCGACAAGTAGACGAGACAAGGTCTGAACATTCTTCCCTTTCTGCTCACCAGTTATACGTAGTCGGTCAGCTGTGTCCTAAATAGAAAAAGTTTATTAAAAATTTCTTTTCATTCGTCATTAGAAAAAAAATTCATGATAAAGGGCAGGCCTTCCTACTTCTAATTAACATTGTACGTACGTCGTACACCCATTTAATTCAAAACATGTAAATTAACAACATTTAAACTAAAAACATCTGCAATTAATAGTACCTAAGAGCAAAATATCTCCCAAAATAAGTATCTTAGTGCATGTAATCTGCAACAAAGTGAAGCCTTACACCTGTCACAAAATCTCTAGATGCACCCCTGATCTAATTCCATGAAAAATTTAATGTTTTGTAACAATCTTATTTTGATTAATTAAAGAGGAGAAAAATTACTTTAAAGAGATCTGGTGGGAGACGTTTAGAATATTTCTTCTTGAAACTAGGATTATCTTCTTCATCACTGGAGTAGTCTTCAGGACCAATCAAACTCATGGCAGCATCATAATCCTCTCCACAGTACTTCAGATGTTTAATAAACCAAACCAAATGCTTGACAGAAATAATCTCCGAGCATTTGGGACAGTTAAACTCTTTCGAGTTTGCGGTATGGTGTTCTCCTCGGCTCCCTGAGTTCGCATGAACGGTTGTTTTGTGAAGAGCAAGTTTTTTCTCCGTCTCGAAATATTCATAACAGCTGTGACAGACGTAAACGAAGTCGCTGTGTCGTCCTTCGAACAAGTCTTGGGCGAGCTTGTACGAACGCTCGCCCTTTCCGGGACCCCGGGTTCGAAAGCACTCAGTTGTGTCCGGAGTTTTTAAGGATTTTCGTCCTCGTCGAAAATTAGAGCCTTGAAACACCGGTTTAACCTCTGCGTCGTCATCGTCACTGTAGTTTTCACTTTTAACGCGTTTCCGAAACTTCTTAGGAGTCCAATCTTCATCTTCACTTCCTGGTACAAAATAGTAGCGTTAGTAAAAGCAATATAATCGATCAAACGTTAGAACTTTTGTGTGTAAATCTCGGGATCAAGGGCGTACGCAGAGGGGGGGGGGGGAAGTGGCCCCCTAGACCTGTAAAGGAGGAGCGTAGCCCTCCTTGAACTATCACACATATAAATGAACGAAGAGCTTTATTATATAGATTACAATTGTACTCCTTCTTCTTTTTGCACAACAGAAACTTTTTCAAGTCATAATTATTTTTAGGACCTTTGTCCTTTTTTTATCTCATAGAAATTAAGTTAAAGTTGAATTGATCTATGTGGAAAAGATCAATATAAGGAGCGTGTAAGAATGAATATTCTTTAACTTATGTAATAATTCTTTATTGATTGGAGCGTGTAAGAATATACATTCTTTCACGCTCTGACCGTGTGAAAATTTCCATTCTTACACGTACTGAGCGTTAAAGAATAAAAATTTTAAACCCTCAGTGTAAGAATAAGCATTCTTAAACGCTAGTAAGCGAACAATATTAAAATTGTTCCTCCTGAACCGTGTAATAATGGGAATTCTTACACGATAGGTTTACTACTATGGAACCGAACAGTTATGATATAATAAATTATCCGGAAATACCTGAACCTAATATTCCATCATCAAATGCAGAATCTCCGACGATAAAACCGTCATCAGAATCATATTCATTCTTTCTCTTCCGTTTCCTCTTCAGTTCAACCTATATTAAAGTTTTATTTGTAACAATATCCAGAAAATAAAAATAAAAATGCCTCGAGAGGCCATTTTACACCATTGACCTCTAGATATTCGGAGGCCGTAATGTTAATTGATTAACCTCTAAAATTTGGAGACAGTCCTTTTATTTCATTAACCTCTTGAGAGTCGAAGACTAGATCTAGATGTTATTTTATTTTATTGAAATCTAGATAATCGAATGCTATAATTTTATTTTATTGAACTCTGGATGATCGGAGGCTATCATATTTTTTCATTGAACTCTAGACCATCAGAGGCTATCATTTATTTGAACTCTAGATAATCGTGGGCTGTTATTTTACTTCATTGACCTCTAGATAATCGGAGGCAGGATCAAAATTTGAAGTCTCTTCTTTAATAGCACCAGAGGGGGTTACTGTCATAGTATCAGGATTGAAACCTAGAAAAAAACTTTAAAATTAGTTGAAGTTAGAAATAGATGAGATGAGCTGGTTATTTATGGCAGGGGGTGGGGGGGGGGGGGCCAGGGGAATGACCCCCCCCCCCCCAATAAAAAACACCCTCCAGAGTCTAAAACTAAAGAACGAAAAGTTTTGACTTTAATTTTAAGTTCATGGTTAAATGCCACTTCTGACTTAATTTAAACCTGAACTTTAACCGTGAGGTTAAATATTTAACCCTGTGGTTAAATATTTAACTCGCCGAAATCGACGAGTTAAAATTTAAACACAGGGTTAAAATCTTGAAATCATGCATTTTCCCTATTAGTCTATTATTCAATCATCATTCAGCTGAGAAAGCGGCATTCAACTTTAAAGACATATTTAAAAGTGAAAACCTTGTTAAAGAAATTTCACGTTTTAGATAAATTAATTTTTGCATGTAAACCCAAAAAAACGGTTGTATGTTTTGTTTTTGGTTACGTAATAACAGCTGATTAGCGATGGTCATGTAATATTCTCCGGAAATCCTTTTCTCTGATTGGTTCAGATTTTCCCGGGAAATTCAAATTTAAAATTGAGAAAGTTTAATATTTAAGTAGCTACTCATTATTTTACAGAACTTTTAACCTCGAACTTAAAATTCGCGCATTCTTTAGTTTTAGACTCTGGTAGCTTTGGTTCACAGAGGAATTTTAGCACCCCCAATGGTAAGGTAAAAAAGTTCCCCCTGGTCAAATTTTTTTAAAAACCCCTGGTGACTTTAAGAGAAATAGGACGTTCTAAAGGTTGATAAAACATGGCGAGGTAAGTAGTGGAAAATAAAAGTGGTCCATGTAATTCCATTTCTGATCCCAAATGCGATCGGGGTTGAAAGTACATTTAGGGGCATGAAAATACATTTTCTTTGTCATTGTGAACTTTGGCAAGTTTTTTTGTGTAAATGTACTGCACTTCAGAAATGTGCACTGCATTTGGAGTGTTAAAAGATGAAAAAATTCTGATATACAGAAAAATAAACATTATACATTTTTTTACACTAACAACATGGTTAATTTCTGCCCCTAATATCAATAATCAACATTTGGGATCGTATTGGATGTAATTATATGGACCCCTGTAATCCAAGGACGATACACCGGGAATCCATCTCATCATAGTTAAAAAATATGAGGTTCGATGAGAAATGAAGAATGTATCCAACCTAAGAGTTTAAGAGCTGTATTGACCTCCCCTATCATCTCCCAGGAGATGTTGACCCGCCCGGTGTAGAAGAGACAGATGATGGACTTGACAACTGCTGAGTTGAGTTCAGGGGTAGATATCATTGTAGTTAACTCATCTTTATCCGATAAGAATAACTCCTGGATAGCAACTTCATTTATTCAAAAAAATCTTTCTTTTACTGGTTTATTACTGATAAATCTCAAAAATGCTGAGGGAAAACCTTTAACATAAAAGTTTAGGGGAATGTTTTTCTTTAAAAAAGGCCCCCCCCCCCAATGCAACAACTTTCCTCCCTAATCGTTAGGAACATTTTCGCAGATTTCCAAGCAAGGGTAAAAAGGATTTTGTGAAAAAATCGTTGAATTTTAAGGAATGAAATGAATATTAAGTGGTTAAAATCTCCCTTTGTCAATTTTTTCTTCCAGATTAATCCAAATAAATGAAATTATAGTTGTGGGGAGGGGGACTAACCAACCTGTAGGTATGAAGAGCAGATGGATAATATGAGCTTATGAACCCTGTATCTTCCTCCATTACAGCTCCAAATAGCATCGTATCCATCTCCAGATCTAGAAAATAAGATTTCAAAAATACTTAAAGCAACTGTTCTTTCGAGTAACTTATTTAAAGAGTTGCATGTCTGATTCACGGCAGTACCTTTTAACCGTGTATCTAAGCAACAACGAGAATAATATCGTCGTTTTCCTTATCTAGAAAAGTGTCAAATTCTGATAATTTCCATCTTTGTCTCTACTGCATATGCCCGTAAGTCACTTATACAGAGAAACCACAGTTGATAATTATAAGTTTTAAATTGACACGCCAAAGTTCCATTGAGACACGGGCAACGTGCATGCTCCCCTTTAAATAGAGGATCACTTGAAATGAAACCTACAGTCCTTTTAAAGGGAGTATTCATGAACCCGACTTAATTTTTTTATTTCTATCATAAGTTTTTATGATATATGCATATCAGTCAATAGATAGAAACAACGGAAGGAAAACATTGTACCGATCATCCAAGAAAGATACTCAAAGGAACTTCCATATCCTTGTTTACATAAAAAGTGTACTGCAATTTAAATTTCCAGTGTTACTTAGGCCAAGTTTTAAAAAATGTAGCTCCAGTTTCTGCAGTACACATTTTATGTAAACAAAGACATGGTGGCTCCTGGTGTATCTTCCTTAAATTGATTCACTTTACAAATCTTTCATTTTCCCTTTAAGATCATAAAAAATAGTTTCAAAATGTATTATGTTTTTTCAAAAATGATTCGCAAGTCTTTCTTTTGTATGAGTTGCTACCTGTATTGGTTGAATATTTCTTCTTGAACAACACCTGGAAACGTTATATCTGTCACTTTGTTGATAACTTTATCATCTTCAAAATACTGAATAATAAGTTTTGTTAGTAATGCACCTAAATAGGACAAACTAGAGGGGGTTTGAAAGTAGATAATTTGTTAACACATCCAAGATATTTTAGTCTAAATATTGCAATCAGAAATATATTGTGTTACACTGAAAATTAAAGATTAAAATGTCACCACTGATCTAAATAAAGCTATAATGAATGCTTCCAATATATATTCTCCAGTGCCCCTATTGTACTTGATTATCTATTTGTTTCCAAGGGTCTTTATTTTAATGTGAAATATATTGTAAGTCTATAATTAGCTGAAGTGCCAAGCGTTAACCGTTTAAATTTTTTTTTCGAATTTTCTAAATGAAAAATTCGAATTTTCCAAAAAAAGGGATAATTTACTCCCAGGGTACCCATGGGTTAACTCAAAAAATTTCAGCCCATTCGGTCTAATCGTCTGGCCATGGCTATAGCTAACATATATAAACAAAACAGAACAAAAATTCACGGATTTCGTAAAGAAAATTTCGTGAATTTTCAAAATGTTAAAAAAATTAATGAAAATCAAATTGAAAATCAAATTTTGTTGGAGGCAAATTTTTTAATCTTGATCATTTATAAACCTTCCCTGGGGCCGCCATGTGATGTCCCACACAAAATTTGGGCCCGATCGGTTCAGCCGTTTTGACATTTATCGGATACAAACAGACAGATATGCAAAGTATACAGATGAGCATAGAGCTTTATCATATAGATTATTCAAAAAAATTAATAATTGACAATTTTAAAATTCTTTAAAAATCCAGAATCAACAGAATTATTTTCATGTTTGTTTACCTGAACCTGAACAGGGTTGGAGTGAAGGTTTATAGACTCAGGGAGAGATTGTCCGACGAGGTTTATTGTCGTGATGGGTTTGACTGGGGTAGCCGGACAAATTATACCTAGAGCAGGATCTAGGTTTGATCTGTCCTGAAGGAGTTTCATCTCCGTTAAGTTGAGCTCCTGTATCCTGGTGGTTAGGACTGGGTTGCTCAGCTTTTCCTGGTACTGTGTAGTACTGGTGGATAGATAGTTCACCTGATCCTCAGATCTAGGATTAAACTGAGACTGGAGAAGATCTAAGTGTCCTAGGTCCTCGATATTTCCAAATGAATTTATCGACGATTGATATCTTTTCATCTCTTCACCACTGGAGAATATCACACCATGTTCCACACTAAGCTTGTCTCCATTCAATCTAACAAAATATACAAATATCATCTAAATGTTTAAAGTAATAAACTCTGTTTGTATGTCTGATCATAACTCATGAACCCCTTGACTGAGTTGCCTCAAATTTTGATTGGGGAAATAGGTAGAGCCACGGAATGTTATTAGCTTGGTTTCCAGGCAAAGCTGGGTTCAATTTCAGTCCAAACTCAAGCAGCAGAAAAAAATCATAAAATCAATATGTAATTTTTTTTGTTTCTCGATTAGGACACAAAATAAAACTATTGAATGGCAAATAAATAAATCTGTAATCAAATCGCTCACCTGTCTAAACCGGCCGAGGTGGATGGAACGTTTATTCCTATTTTAGATAATTCACAATCCCCAGTTCTCTGTCCTGGTTCTCCTTGTTCGCCGTTCATCTGATATCTATCCGATCCCATCTCCAGAACTATCCGGGAATTCCTGGTTTCATCAGACCCATTCTCTTGTACAACTCTAACCTCGGGATTAAGAACACCTCTTCTCTCCACTTCATGCTGATGGACTTCAGTCACATTTTGTTCACTTTGAACCCAGAACTCATTGGAAATCATATTGTCCTAAACAGAACTTTAAAAAATCACATGTTTCAGTTTTGTATCTAATTTAGAAGAATTACTATTTTTTATTTAATATCGGAGGTCTCTAGGATCGACCCCTGGAGTACACTGTATACCTGAGAGGGTTGATTAGTTCTGATTAGTACTAGAGCAGATGAAGATATCTCTTGGTTCTCCTAAACCTCAATCTGTCCGTGTTGAAACTTGACACCAAACTATAATTCAACCTCCTGTGCATAAAGAGCATAAATCACGAGAAAAATAAACTAGTCAGTGGCATTATAATCGGTTAATATTTATATATAAAAATAATAAAAGTGTGTTATAAAATTTAAAATTTGCGCGCGGGCACGCTTTGGATAGGATGTGTGGTTTCGCCTAATCGTACAAAGTTCTTATTTATATCAATTCAGACCAGAAATTGCCTTCAAAGGGTCTGTCCTAGTGAACGATTTTTGGACCCCCCCCCCTCCTATCAATTTTTTTCATGACGAAATTAGGAAATTAGTATTTATTTATTATTATTTCGGGTTAGGTTAGGTTGACACTTTCTGGACCGAGCGCTGCGGCCAAGGGTTAGGTTAGTTAAGACACTTTCTGGGCCGAGCGCTGCGGCTAGGACAGAATTAAAGTAAATCAATCTAAAATGACGTCACATGAAAACCGCAACAAAAAGTTTGTGAAATTATATATTTAACGAAACATAAAAGGAAACCATTGAATTCTGCAACTACAATGAACCCAATAAGACGNTGGACGGACCCGATGCTAGGCTGTAGGCATGAATGCTTGATCCATGTGCAGTAAAATGTGAAAACTACGACTTAAAAACTAGGGCACATACTAAAAAATTGAAATTCAAATAGATCAAAAATGAAAATGTTTTGATGGTACATTGAAAATAAGACATATACTTGACATATTTTCGTAATAATTTATGTGTCATCGGTTTAATATTGATTTTTTTCATGCTACGTACCACAGCTTAATTTAAACTGATAAGTGGACAACTTTATTTATAATCATAATATCTGACATGAATTTAAAACGACCATGATAAATTTGAAAAATATAAAATAAAAAACACTCACCAATTAGGCACTCGAATGTCGTTGAATTGATCTGTAATCTCTGTAAACAGTTAAATTAGTTTTTGACATTATAATCAAAATGGCGAACCCTGCCTCACAATAATAATAATAAGCGGGAGGAAGCTCTGCCTGAGAACTCGAACCTAGTTATAAAATGTTGGTAAGGAGTTTTGTAGATAATATTTTTGAAATTTTACATTTTTCGTACAAACAAATTTTACAAAAATATTTTTAAAAAATTTTAAATTAAAATTTTTGTAAACTCCCCCTTTTTCATTTTCTTGAAATTATCAAGCCTGTTTCCTAACACAGTATACGAAATACAAGAGTTTAGTCGACTGCCACCCAAAATAATGAGGTTCTGATCTAGATAGAATTCTGCTGAACCACACAAGTCACAATTAAGTTATTAAATTAATCGAACACATTCAGAGTGTAATAAAATGACGGGGATAAATTCTAATTGAGACAAATCGTTCTGTATTTAAGGTATTTATGCATGACTATGAGGACAAATTTAGAGATAAACTGTCGTTTTTTATGTTCATGACTTTAAATGTATGGTCTAGTCCAATGTCATCTTAAAAAATATAATTCGTAGTTTTTATAAAAACATATAGTTGTAGTCGCAGTGGTTTTAAGTTTATTTGTTTCGAGAAGATCTAAAAATTACAGCACTTACTTACGTCGTCGCGTTTAGCTATAAATTAATGGCGATTTTGTTTATTTTTTGGAGTGTTTTTGTATTTTATTAAGTTTTTTTTGTATTATATTGTTAAAATTTTGACGAAATAATTAACTCAAGCTTCTTAGCTTTCCGCCAATAAAGTTAAAATAATCTATTTTGTATAAATTTATTCTACTATTAAACTCTGTAAAACAATGCTATAACATACGGCTCATTTAACATGATAGAATAATTATTTTTTTATGACTTGAAATATATTAATACATTAAATTATATTCAGGAATGAATCTCTGAGAAATAACCGTTCAACAATGTTGAATAATAGTGGTGTTAGGTAATTCAGAAAAAAAATGTTAAATTCATTCAATTTATTTGTATATATTTTTTCTTCAATATTTAACAAATTTTTTATTTATGTTTTTTAAACTTTACAATAATATGCACAACAAGGGCGTATACAGAAATAAATCTAGGGGGGGGGCAAGATTTGCGCGAAGCGCAAAATTTTTTTTTGCCCCCCCTAGGAGCTTCTAGGGGGGGGCAAAATTCGAACTGTAAATTCAAGTCCAAATAATTACCTTCTAAGCACTACTTTATCTCTCCTTCAAACAAAACTAGCAGAAAAAAACATTGTTTTTAAAAAATCGACATTTTATTATACTTTTATAGGTATATTTAGTATTTAAACTAGAGATATTAAAAGACATTTTTGAAAATAAAAACTTAACTTAAACTTAAATTCTATGAGATGAAAAGAAGTACAAAGGTCCAGAAAATAATTATGACTTGTAAAAGTAGGAGTACAATTGCTGCAATCTATTTAAAAGTTCTTCATTCATTTATATATATGTTTGCTAGTATGGCTGGCCAAATAGCGGAATCAAATGGGCTGAATTTTAGTGAGGAAACTCATGGTTACCCTTGGGGATAACATAAGCTAAATAAATTACAATTTTTTTGTTTTAATTAGATTTTTAAAATTCCACAGGCAACGCCGGGCACTTCAGCTAGTTTGAAATACAAATTGGGGGTGCAATGAATAAAGTAAATTCAATCCAAATTAAACACATCACTACTAAACAAGACTAGCATACAGTGTTGCCAACTCCAAAAGAGGGGTCTAGGCCAGAGAGAGGATACAATTAGGCCCAAAATCCAATCTTTAGGCCCATATTTTAGAATTTAGGGCGAAGCCCCCCAAAAATTTTTTTGGGCCTGAAAGCAAATTTTTGGGCCTAATTTTAAATATTTTACCAAAATACCTAATTTATTGCGACTTTTGATTCAAATATCTTCCAGCATAAATATCTGAATAGAAAATTAGCCTCTGCAACCACATTCAATTTCCATTAAAATTTTTAAAATGCACAAAATTTTTTTACAAAATCTGCAACTTTTTTTGTATTGTTTTACATATATAATATATATATAAAACAAAGAGAAAATGTTCTCAATTGATATAGATTGGCACGAAGCGACCTGAAAGCTAATAAATTATAATATTCAATCATTTGTATAGAATCCATGATCTGTTCCAGTTTCTACCCAAGGGAATAGGTTCAGACATCTCCATGTTTTAAACTTTAGTTTAATATATCAACCTTGATATATGAGGTTTGTGAAAAATTCTAAAACTCATGAAGTAATTTCATTCTTACTTTATCCAAACAATGCCTGGCTGTTTTCTTTACCAATTAAGATCAACAATTTTCATTCGGCCCAAAATTCGGCCCACAATTTCCTTAGGCCCAAAGCAATTTCATTCGGGCTGTTTTCTCGTTTTGGGCCTAAAGATTCGGGCGGTTGGCAACACTGCTAGCATATAATGTAAAGTGTGTGAGCTGTACAAATGTATGCAGACTGTGTGTTCTCTGAACCCAACTAAACTCTGTGTACTCTGTGAACTTAAAAGTTAAAATTAGGTTGGGTTGGTTAGGTTAACTTGGTTACAGCATGAGCACTGCACTGTAATTATATATATTTTAAAATTTTGATTTTTTATAATAAT